TGTCTTATCTTTTCTTCCATAGTGGCATCTGAAAAATATGGACCTAACTCAAGGCCCAGCTTAGCTCATCCCATAAGTAAGAATTTAGTGAGGAAGGCACCAGGGTTTCACTGAGGCCCACTGGAGGACAAGGTAACATGAAACTTTTTATTTTGAGAGAAGTCTGATGAATCATTTTGCTAAAATCCAGCCAAGGGGAGCAGAGACTTATATATTTGTGGTCACCAAATTGTGAGGGACCATCTGTACCAGCTTAATGTTCTTAAGTCCACAAGGCTTGATGGTATTCATTCCAGAGTAAAGGAATTAATGGATGTTATAGCTGGACCCCTCTCAACAAATTACCAAGGTCTTGGTAGTCTGGGAACATCCCTGCTGACTGGAAGTTAGCCAGTGTTATAAACAACTACAAAAGGTGCACAAGAGAAGATCCAGGAAACCACAGACCTGTTACACTAACCTCGGTCTTTAGAAAAAATACAAAGAATGTTGTGCTGGGGGTATTGAAAGATGTTTGAAGAACAGAGCTATTATGAGGCATAGTCAACATGGGCTCATTAAGAGAAAGTCCTGCTTTAGTAATTTTATTTCCTTCTATGATAAGGTCACCTGCTTTGTAGATGAAGGGAAGGCAGTGGACATAATCCTTCTGGATTTTAGTAAGGCCTCTGATACTGTCCTTCATGGCATCTTTCCGGACAAACTGTCTGTTGTGGAAATGCTGAGTCATGGCCTGAAGCAGTGATTGAGCACCTGGTGGGAAGGCAGGGCCAACCCAAAGGAGCTCAGGTGCATGCAGTGCAGATAAGTGACCAGAAGGGATATAATCAGGATCCACCCCTTCCCAAACCTCATTTAAGGGTTGGCAGAGGAAGTGAGGATATTTCTCTGGAGATCCCTCCCTACCTGAGGCCTTCCAAAGGTAAGCAGTTTTCCTTCCTTTATTTCTGTGTCTACATCTACTGCATATGGGCTTGTTCTCATTTGCTGCAGCCTTGGATTGTGCCACTGTGCTATTATTGCTGTGCTTTTGAAAACATAATAGCATTACACTGCCCAACGGTGAGACAAACAGATGTATGCTGTGCTAGGGAGTAAGCTGGATCAACAGTGGAGTTCAGAGATTTACAGTGAATGAATCTATATCTCATGGCAGATGAGAGTGAGATGATCTCACTAGTGATATTTGCCAGGGCCAGTTTTGTTCAATGTTGTTGTCAGTGATCTGAGTGCAGGAGTTGAGTGCATCCTCAGCAAGTTTACTGATGATGATTAAACTAAAAGATGCTACTGAATCCTTTGAGGGGCAAGAGGTCTTGCAGAGGGATCTAGATAGATTGGAGCACTGGGCATTTATCAATGACATGAAGTTCAATGAAGGAAATTGCTGAGTTTTACTCCTAGGAAAGAGCAATGCACAGATTAGGAAAGGAGACATTGTTGGGAAAGGAGTAGCTGGAGAGCAGCTCAGCAGAAAGGTTCCTGGGGGTGCTGGTGACAGCAGGCTCAGCACAAGCCAGCAGTGTGCCCTGGCAGCCAAATGGGCAAACCTCCTTTGCAGGTGCAATAGATGCAGCTTGGCCAGCTGGCCAAAAGAGCTGATTATCCCACCATGTCTGTAGCAATGGTGTGGTTTCACCCTGATTGCTGTGTGCAGTTCTGGGCTCCACAATACAAAAAGGATGGTAAGGTCCATGAAAGCATCCAGACAAGAGCAACAAAGCTGGTAACAGGGTTGGAAGGCATGTGCTGAGGAGAGACTGAGGACACTTGGGCTGTCCATTCTGGAGAAGAGGAGGCCAAGAGGTGACCTCACTGCTCTCTGCGTCTCCCTGGGGAGGGGAATGGAGAGAGACTTATCTGGCTCTACTCCTAGAAACTGGATGGGAACAGCACAAGCTGAGCCATGGCAGGGTTAGACTGGACATCAGGAAAAATATCTTTGCTGTGAGTGCGATCAGACACTGGAACAGGCTTCTTAGAGAGGTGGTTGATGTCCCATATGTATCTGGGACATCAAATGCCACTGTTCAAGAGGCATTTGGATGATGCTTTCATTAACTTTAACCCTTGGTTAGTCCTGATGAGATCAGACAGTTAGACTAGGTGATGTCTGAAAGTCTCTTCCAACTGAACTATGCTATGCTTATGCTATGCTAAACTCAGAAGTTTAGCTAAAAGGTTCACGGTCCCTGCAGCACTGTGGTGCATACCTCTGGAGATTATGTGGTAGCTTTAGGTAACTTTGAAAGTAAAAGTTCTTAGTTAAATGAAAAGTGAAAATTAACTCAAAACAGTGTCCTTAGTGCTATTTAATTTTATACGCAAATTCAGTTTACTTAATGTTGTCCTAGATTTGCATTGCAATGCTTAATCTAAATCTGAATGTCTTTGTATGGATCATAAACTTATTGAGGATAAACAAACAATACTAGCAGCTGCAGGCCAAATCAGCTGGATGGTCATGCTCAAAGATCTGCAGTCAATATGCAGACATCTGGCTTGATGTCTAGGTGGAGAAAAGTAACAGGAGGTGTTCCTCAGGGGTCTGTGTTGGGACTGACACTATTGAACATCTCTTGTTGACATGGATGCTGGGGCTGAGTGCACTCTCAGCCAGTCTGCAGTGATAGTGATAGGACAAGGAGTGATAGTTTTGAACTGAAAAACTGGTGATTCACGTTAGCTGATAGAAGGAAATTGCTTACTCAGAGGGCAGTAAGGTCCTGGCACTGCTGTCCAGAGAAGCTTTGGATGCCCTATCCCTGGAGGTGCTCAAGGGCAGTTTGGATGGGGTCCTGGGCAGCCTGAGCTGGTGGGGACAGCCAGGGCAGGGGGTTGGGCCTTAGCAGGCTTTATGGTCCCTTTTGGTCCAAACTGTTATGTGATTCTATGAGAAGGGCTTCTAAGCAGTGAGGAGAGTACATCAGCTATGAGAAATTTCAGCGTGCATTCTGTTGAGATCCACTGGAAGAGCAGAGCTTCAATACATACCAGCATCCTTGTCAGGCATGGTGTACATGCCAGGGAGTGACTACTCTTGGCTTTTTTTTTTTTTAAACACATGGAGTCAATTCTGAGTCTTTCCCACCAACTGCCTTGTTTTCCAGTGTTTTGGAAGCCACCATTCCCTGGTGGGAAGCAGGAAGAACAGAGTTACATTTTTGCTTTCATTTGCAAGAACTTTCTGTTGCCTCCATTTTTCATTACTGTCTGCATGTTGCAGTGCCTTATATGAAGAAATATATAGTGTAGCAACAATTTTGTATTATGTGTCAGTAAATGGGCAAAAAATTGTTTTGAATTGAACATTTATTTTATAAATGTAATTTCAAATGACTGTGTATTGCAAACTGCCACCCAGCACATTCTGCAAATACTGCCTCGCTATCAGAAGACATTATTCTGCTTCCAAATTTGATTTGTGTGAGAAGAGAGTCCCTTATAAATTACAATTTAGCTTTAAGTGTTGACTCATTTTGCTATTGAATTCTCTTATTCTGAGCCTGCACCACTAAATTATAAACTTTTAGAAGTTATACAACCATTATGTCTCACTGCACAGTCTTCAGAAAATAGGGTTTCTATTTCCTCCGCTAGAGTTTGCTTGTTTAATTTTGGCGTTTTGTTTTTTCATGAAAATGTTAACAGTACAATTTCAGTCTCCCTTCTTCCCATTTTATATTGTTATGCTGTTTTAAAAACAGTTATGTCTAGCTTTTTCATTTCTATGACTTTCTGTCAAATACTTCAAATGACTTTTTATCAAATAAATACTCCAGCCTCCCATTTTAAACTAACTAAAACTGCTTACCTTCTTAAATTGATTTACTCAGATTCTTTGTACTTTATATTGTTATATTACATTGCCTTATATGTCTCCAATACAGCTTGTAATGCTGCTGTGTTAGCTTTGGCTTGTCGTTGTCATCAGCCAATGAATAGGAATGACATAATTCCTCTCAGATTACAAAAGAAGGTATATGCTGTTTGCAATGATGAGTATTAGTATGGCAATTAGGAAGTAAAGAAGGTAAGTGAAGAATTGGATATGTGGTTCTGAGGCTATGCGTCATGTTGCAAATTCCAGGATAGATCAAGTTACAAATTATGTAATTGGAAAAAATAGTATTGAGTACAGGTCTATTTTTAAGGTTAGGGGGGTTTATGAAGCTTATGATAAATGATAGAGTTTCGGATGGATGTAATGTGGGCTGGCAGGGTGCCTCATTGGGTTACTAGTAATATATATAAAGCATAAGTGGCAGTCAGCAGGGCTGAAATTCCAGTTAGAACAACTGTGAGGGTAGATCAGTTAAACAGCACAATTACAATGGTTAGTTCCTCTTTTAGGTTTGTTGTTGAGGGCAGTGCCACGTTTGTCAAATGGCTATTAGTCACCATGTGGCTGTGAGTGTTGGAGGGGTTGTAGGCCTCATGTAAGGATGAAGATATGGCCAAGTGTTCATTCATAACTTGTTTTGGCTAGGCAAAATGGCAGGGAGGAGGTAGATTCATGTGAGATACTGGTTTAATCTTGAGTATGGCATCACTAGTCTCCACACTAAATGCTTGAGAAACTCAACAAACCATCTACCATCTACCCCACTAAACATGTACTCTCCCCCTCCTGGGCTTAATTCTAGCTGCTACAGGAGAGTCAGCCCCATTTGGTCAACCCTTGACTCCTTGCAGCAACAGAAGTGTAACCCCTAGTTTCTACTCTACCGCAATAGTAGTAACCAGAATCTTCTTGGTTATTCATACTCATCCCCTTCCAACCACTAACAAAACAGCCCTAGCCATATGCCTGTGTTTAGGTGCGCTCTCAGCCCTCTCCCACCACAGAATCACAGAATGGCCAGGGTTGGAAGGGACCTCAAGGATCATGAATCTCCAACCCCCCCGCCACATGCAGAACCACCAACCTCCCCATTTAATACTAGACCAGGCTGCCCCGGGCCCCATCCAATCTGGCCACCAGGTGCCCTCACTCAAAACAACATAAAAAAAAAAAATCATTGCTTTCTCCACCTTCTGCCGGCTAAGCTTAATAATAGTCACCATTGGACTTGATCTCTCACAACTAGCTTTCCTTCACATCTCAACCCATGCATTTATAAACCTCTTCCTAATACTAGCCTTATTCTCCCCTAACCTCTTAAGGGACCCATAAAATTTCAGATCAGCAACCTCACTAATCCTACCTGCTCACATCAAATTAGGGGGATGATTCCTAATTGTAATGTCATCCTGAGCTCAATTCCAGACAAACTTGGAGGAGTCCTAGCATTAGCCACCTCCATATTAATCCTCTTTCTTGCTCCCTTCCTACATAAATTTGAACAATGAACATCAATGTTCTGCCTTCCTCCTATGGTTAAGATCCAGTGTCTAATGGGCCATACTACATGTAAAATTTGACAAGGCCTTTTTCAGCAACAGCAGTAGGCAAGGGAGAGGTTGGGAACAGCAGAAGTAAAACCAAGTGGGAATTTTTAGACTTCTTTAAGATAGTTTCCTTTGCTTTAAGGATTTCTTTTTTCTAGTCTGCAGCTCTATGGATGAGAGATTCTTAGGTCAAATCACTCAGTGTGTTTGCTATTGTATGCTTTAATTTGGACATGTTGGGAGCACTTTGACTTCTCCTTCTCTGGAGATATTCAAGACCTGTCAGGACACCAACCTGTGTGACCTGTTGTAGGGCGCCTGCTTTGGCAGGGGGTTGGACTCGATGATCTCTTGAGGTCCCTTCCAGCCTCTGTGATTCTGTGACTTTATTTCACCTTCCTTCTACTACAAGCCAACTCTGTCAAACTTTTGCTGTGACGTTTATATACAACTTTTCTGGCAGGAATTCAAGACAAATTTGAAGAAATACCTTTGCTGCCTGGTCACATACCAGACAGCTGGGATTTAGCACATCCCATCCCAAAACAGTTTGAAGGTCACAGACTTCTGCCTGGCACCCAGGTACAGTTCTGACAGCTATTGCTTTCAGCATGGGTTTAGCATCATCAAACTTGTCAAACTTAGCATATAAATGGCTCTTGGAACCTGCAGGCAGCCCATTATGGTGAATGTATCTTATTAACAAAGGTGATATTAGAAACTCACACAAGTAACTAATGGCATCGAATGCAAAGTACATCAATATGCTCAGAGACTGGTGAGCGATGTTTTCCAATTAAGGCAACTCTTTGACCTTCTGAACTATAAATAAACTGTCAGAGTCCCTCATCTGAGACTGGCTTTTACTGCAACACTATGCCACGGAACTCAGATGTACTTACAAGGCTAATTCTGGAGCAAACTAATGGATGGGGTGAAATTTTAAACACTACTGCCTCACAGAAAAGCATCCTCAAATTTCTGCAGTATTGGCAGAGCTGCACCCCTTGGAATAGAGAGCACCAACACAGAGTGGGTATCACATCCTTCAGTGGAGCAGCATTCACCTGAGGCAAACCACTTTGCTTATGCAAGCACTGAGAAGATGTGGATTTTTTTAATGGCAATAATGTGAAAATGTAATAGTTCCTAAGGGTTGCTGAATTATTTTCCCAGTTAAAACCCTTACATGATTTACTGTTTTTAGACATCTGATGCGTATTTAGATTCTCAGTGGCAAGACCCACTTGCAAAAGAAGACTAAAGTCAAGTCAGTGGGAGTCAGACTTTTCTTCCCTGTTTCAGAAGTGTTGTACTATTTCTCTGGAACAGATCAGTTGTTTTGGGTGGCATACATGCCTTGAACCATACCCTGGATATAAGCACAATTATTCAAATAATGTACTGGCGTTTTAAAACCTCTTCAAATTCCAGTAGAGTTTTTGAAAAAGAAAAAGCTAAGATGTGGCACTTTGCATCAGATATAGAAGGATGGATGTTTCTTCTCGGTGCTCACTGACCTTGCGCAGTATGTTTGATGTCTGTTTGTCTTCATTTCTTCTACTGGTACCCTAAACTGTACCAAGAACGGTGCAAGAAGGAGTATTTGAAGGGAGAAACTTTATCATATTTGACAGCTATTCCTGCTGTATCAGCTCCTGCCAGCTGAAAAGAGATATCCTGGGTTCATGGCAGTAGCTGAAAGATACTTAAATAAAATGGGAGACAGACAGTATCCAGAGACAAGTTTTGCCTAGTGTCTGAGTTGTCTCACTGCATATCTAAAGATGCCTCATATACCCATGTGTCTTACCCTCATACTTTTTGGGAGGGGAAAAAAAAGGCAATTAATAACACCAATTCTGTCACTGAAATCTGGAATAAAACTCATTAATAGTAATGTAGCATTAAGAAGCAGGCATTCCTTACTGTGACCAGATGCACGGGTCCACCTAATGTGCATAGCCAGGAGCTAAAAGCATACAGATTATATATATTGAATGTGTGAATATTCATACATTTTCCACGGAATGCCTGCCTATTTCAAAGACTGCTGTATTGAAATCTAATAGTATGCATGCTCTGTGTTAGTATGGGGTCCTTGTAAGGGGCCTGTGGTTAATTAATTGCCAGGTATCAATTGACCCCTTGGGAAGTAGTTAGTTCTTCTAATTACTTTCACATATTTTTTTTCAAAATATCTTTTCATACATCTTATACGGAGTCCTATGCCTCTTATAATTACCACTATACGAATGCTAGTGACATTGCACATCCTACCAAACTCTTTTATTAATTTTAAAACCAAATTTTCACTTTCACATTCATTTCCTCACTTTAAATAAATGCATTACTTTTAACGATAAGAAACAGATAACCTAGTCTCACACAGCCTGAGTTAATTGCAAATACAATAGTCCTTCTTCCTTGACAGCCTATTCTGATGTTGCAGATGGCTTTGACTCTACTGTAATGAATCCATAGACTGATTCCCTTGAGTCTGACTGCTGCATGGCTGGTGAGTAAGATCTGGAAGGGTCCTCTCTTCTCCTCATCTAACTATGTCTTCAGGTACACCCAATCTCCAGGTTGGTACAGGTCCATCCACGGGTAAGGGTGCACATATGACATACCTGCAGAGGAAAGACAAAAACATTTCTCAAAGATATCACATATTCTTTAACCTTTTGTTCCTCAAGGAGGCAAATATCACCTCCTTCTCCTATAGACTCCCATATAGAATCTCACAAAGACTTACCATAGAATGGCTTGGGTTGGAAGGGACCCCAAGGATCATCAAGTTTCAATTCCCCTGCCACAGCTAAGACCACCAACCTCCAGTTCTGGTACTAGACCAGACTGATCTTTTCTTTAGAAGCAGACCTCATCCTGATTCTTAGTAAGGCAAGTGGTAAAGCATGTGGCCATTTTAATTTTGATTCTTGGCATATTTTGCCTATTTGGCTTTTTAAACTCTGATTCATTCTTTCTACATTACTGCTTGGCTGAGGTCTCCTCAGAGCATGCTGATTGCATTTTAGCACAATTCTAGCTAGATTTGGTACTACTTCCGTGATGAAATATGGACCTCTATATCTTTAGATAGAGGTACCCCAAATCTGGGTGTAATTTCTTTTATTAAAACCTTTACTACTTCAGGAGCTCTGTTGGTGTAACAGGGGAAGGCGTCTGGCCATCCTGAGAAAAAGTATCTACTAATAGCAGTATGTACCCGTACTCACATCACTGCAGTAATTCACAAAAAATTCATCTGCTGATAATCTCCTGGATGCTTTCATTTCTTAGCTGTTCTGAGTGGAGGTTGTTTAGGTTGATGGGTACTGTTTTGCAAACAGAGATTGTATCTTTTCACAGCACTCTTTATGATTCCTGCCATGCTCACACTTAAAACTTGGTGTCTCATACTTCTGGTCATTGCCTCTATTCCCCAATATGTCAATCAGTGATAATCTTCTGCCAATTTATTCATAAGAGATTGAGGGATAATTGTCTATTTATCTGGAGTTATCTACCATCTTTGTCATCTTTAACCACTTTTCATAATGTTGCCAGTCTCTCATCTTTAACTTAGTAATGTGGGTTTCTTTTCCTAATTATTTATATTTGTTCAGGATTACTAATAAAGGAATTCCTTCCATGGCTACTTCAGCAGCTCTACTGGCAAGTCAATTGCTGTAATTCACTGGAGCATTACTGAACTGATGTGTGTTACAATGCGTTACGGCGACTTTCTGAGGAGGCGGTACACTCTTCAGTAATTCTATAATAATGGGTCCATATTTTATTTTTGATCCCTGGTAGGATAGCAATCCTCTTTCCTTCCATATTACTCCATGGGCATTAACTACTTCAAATGTAAATTTTGAATCACTCCATATGTTGACTTTTTTTTTCCTTTTAATAGTTCCAGTGCTGTCAATAATCTCAGTCTCCGTGCCAGGACTCTCAAGGCACTATGCAGCCTTCCATGCACAAACAGTTCTAATGTGTTTTTTTTTCCTGACTAGTCTGGAGTTCAGCTACAGTCGTACAATCACACGTTCGGTCTGTCATCCTAAGGTTCCTCCAGCTCATAACAATAGCATTACAATGTTGTCTACTTCCTCAGGTATTCCAGGTTCAGAAGGTGATTCCTGTAACACAAAGACTTGGGCCTCTATGGCTTTGTCCTCAGGGATATGTACTTGATTTTTTTTCTCTCTACAGGTGTATATTTCTTTAGTATATCTCTATCTAGAAGCAGACAGAGCATTCAGGCATAAACAAGAACTGATGAATCAATACCACTTTAGTGCCCACCTATTCTCAGAATTGCTATTCATACTAAAATTTCATACTATATGTGCACTGTGTTAATATGAGGTTCTTGCTAAGGTTCTTTGGTGGCTGTGTGGTTCCACTGGAAGGTGCTATCCTGCCAAAAGGTCACATGCGAAGTATGTCAGGTCCCCTGTTTGATGAAGAAATTGTTTACAAAAAAATGAACTGCTCACTAAGCTTCTAATTATCACAACAATTTTGTTATGGTGCCTATTTTAACGGCTTTAGCAGGGTACGCAGCTTGTGGAATGCTGAGATTCTGCTTTTTGGTTTGTCTAGGAAAAACAACCTTCCCTAGGCAGAATGTCAATGTGCTGAAGACTCTAAATTAATTGTTGAAGACTGAATTAATCACCAGGTATCAATAATATAGGATTTACTATTATAAGTACTTCAGCAGTGGCTATTACAAATGCTCATAAAATAGAGGGCTTCATGAACTTTGGAATTCCAAGCAAAACCCCACAAGTCAGTGGTCCTCACCAATACATCATCAGCAATCTTAGCTGAACAGAGGGGAAAGACAGAAGAACATCAGCTTTGCTGTAGAAACCAAAAGAAAATGAGATTTTAGTCTTCCAAAAATTTTAAGCACTAGGAAAAAAAAGATCAGTTTTTTGTCAGTGTTGTTACTTGTTTCACAAGGGAAACATAATAATGTTTCTTAATTGTAGTGATCCCAGTGATGGGATTGGAAAATTTCCCCTCCTGTAAAAGAGACACACATAGTGTATGAAGTGGAACACTCTGTCCTATTCATTACAGCACTGTGACTTTCCACCAGTACTTCAAAGCCAGACATGAGAAGAGGCATGTACAGAGCAAAAATTAATGAAGCACAGCCCACTGCAGGTAATTTACAAGCACTTAAGTTGCTTCTTTAGTTTGCTTACAGCTTTGCCTTGCACCTCGTGCTTTGATTCAAGCATCCTTATCTTTTGCTGTGATCTTGTCTTTTGCTGTAATAAGGATATGAATATCCAAGGCTTCAAAACCTATTACATCAGAAATAACATAACAAAGCACTAGAAGAAAAGAGAAGTGGGGCAATACCTCATGTAGGCTGAGGAACAGTCTTGTCCTGTGTTTTCTCCTTCTGCTTTTTTGTGTTCATGTAAGCTGCAGGAAAGAAGTGTCTGAAACTTGGGGAAGGCAGTAGAAGTGAGTTAAAGAAGAGCATAGGTAAAGCTTCAAGCTATGTCCTGACCTGCCTGGTTATGTCCTTTGATATAGTCTAGTGAACTGATTAAAGAAATGGGAAAATTGGTCTGTCCCTGGAGGAAGAAAAAAAAAAATTGAAGTGTTCTAACTGTTCATTCAAACAGAGAAGTGCTGTCATAATCTAGCTGTTAGATATGAATTCAGAAGCTGAAAAATGTTTTACCTCAAGGTCTTATTCTTTGCAGGATAGCAGGCACAGACCAGCAAGCATTAACAGAAATATTCTTTCTCCCTCCTTCTGCCTTTCAAGCAGTGGATTAGCTAAACGTTTACTGAAGGATGTGCATTAATTAATTGGAGAGCAATCAAACATCTTTTGTCGTACCTTCTTTCAGCCTAATAATGTATGACTAAGAAGAAAAGAGAAATTATAAATCAGGAAACCATTTACCCGATACTCAAGTGCAGTAGTTGTGCACGTAGCTTGTTACAATACTCCCACTAGGTACAGCTCATCTAATTCTGCCTTTGAAATGCTCTAACAAGAAAGAATGGATTGTAGGCTGCTGTTCTTTCTCTGACCCTCTTGCATTGTATCCAGAGAGAATGAAAAATGAAATCTCATATGAAATGGTATTTTGACCTGGAGGAATCAAATAAAAATCAGATCTTTTATGCCACAGATGTGACCATATTTGCCATAGCAGGTACTGGCCTTTCACTCAATTAGTGACTGTGTGGTAGTTTTATTTGCAGTTGCTCATAGTTTTAATATATTCCTTTGTTCCACGCCATGTAGACAGCTAGTCTTAGAAAATGTGAACTGATGATGCTTTAACAATGTTTTCTATGATAAAAGGAAGGTCCTTCACTGTGGGAAGAAAAAGCATTAGCAAAGCTGAAGAATTTATTTTGTAGAAACCATCTTTGCTCTTTCATGAGTACTATGGATCTAAATGGTTGGAGCAATTTACCTTTTTGGTACTGGTGATAGCCAAAGGTGACAAATGGAATCAGCATGCAAACCTTTTAGAACTAAAATCAATAGCCCATGAAGTGCCTTCTAAACAGGAGGTACATTAGATTGTAGCTTGCAATCTTTTTGCAAGAAGGAAAATGGATTACACTGGTCAGTTTGATGGTTATTTGACATAGTTGCTGCTCTTGTTGTTAACTCTGAGAGTTAATGACTCTAGAATTTAACAACTATGAACATTTGTACTGAGGACAATGAATCTGTCAGCCCATTAGCAGTGCTGATATGATGTTATTCCTATTTCTCATAGCTCATGAGATTCCTTTTCACAAGTATTAAGGATTAATTCAGGCATTTGCTGAGTTGCCAGTGCCAAATCTATTGATTTTTGGTTCTTTAGCTGACAGTTCAGGAATTACAGGTGTTTATTTTTATAATTTTTCCATCAAGACTGTGACTGTAAGAAGGCAATTACTAGCCCCAGTTCTCTTTCTCATGCTGCTCACCTGAACTGAAGAGAAAACCATATTGTATTGTCACAAGTGCTCTTTCTAAACTTATTTACACTTCTAAGATTGAAACCCAGAGGGCATCAGAGAGAGGGAAATCTGTATCACTGATTCAGGTCACCACAGTCATGGGTCGAATGTGACTAAAGCATTAGGACAGAAATATTCTTTATCCCCACCTGTCTTTAGACTAGTGTATTTTCTTTCTTGCATAATCCTTTAGTGGAAAAAAATGTTCTTGTCATCTCAGCATGCTGAATTAATTAACCCACTGATCAGCCACCTCTTTAAGGGTCTAAAATCCAGCGTGAGATAAGGAAACCAGACTATAAAATCACACAGTCAAACAGAATGAGAGCTGGTAAATGCTGCTGAAAATGGACAAGATCTAGGTATCCAGGCTTTCAACTATAAAGTGAAAAATTTGAAGTTCATGTGATGAAGGAGGAGGATGAAACAAAACAGTTAGCAAATCACAGCAGAAAAAAACCCACAGAAGTGGAACAGGCTTGGTCTCAGTTTCAAGATACCTCAAGAGATCATGCATGTCTTCACTCTAGTCTTTGAGCAAAGTCAAGACATCTGCTGCTTTCTCCCAACTTCATTTTTAATAAGAAAAGGAACAGGCACTCAGCTCCACAGAAAC